AGAGCATTTTCCAGAATTTTTTAGCAATTTATGGTCTCAGTTATTTTTGAATACCGTAGCGGCAAAACCGGGAAAAGCCAACCAAGAAGCCTCCACAACGAAAAAAAAGAAGGAAGGTTTATCTTGTCTTGAAAGGCAGATACGCAGTAGATGTGCTGCCAGGCTGAACCTAGGTGTAAGGGCCGGTGGGGTAGTGGTAACACGTTGTACCCGGACGTGAAGGGGATTGGTTCGTTTCCCTTCCGGTGCGGGACAGTTTTTGAGAAAGGCCTCCGTTCACGACAAATATAATTAATATTTAATTGCAACCCATTAGTACTCGATCTTAATTTACAAGCACTGTAATTCACAGTTCCTCGCTCTAACTGTGCAGCTGGAAACTTTTCCACTTGCTTTGAATAATGCCGTATGTAGAAAAAATGATAGTCAACTGGATGACACCATTAATAAATGCAGGAGAAATTCTACTTCTCTTCCCATATCTTCTTTTTCGCTAAGTTATGAAACAGAATTTTCATTTTTTTACAGCGATTATACTTTCCAGGCGTTCGCTTGCTGCGCAATTTCGAATCGCCTTATTTATCGACACATTTGCTCAATCAGAAATCGGCAGCAGCAGGAGTGTTTTGTTATGTAACAATTAGGAAGCTAATTTGGGATCCGAGGATTGAAGAAGAAATGCTCGATGATCCTGGAGCCCTCTTACTACTGTATAAACAAGTTTGTTCTTTTTTTTTTACAGAAATACAAAGATTGTCCTAATTTTTGACTGCATAAGTAGTTACCCTTTCTGTCAAATGAGTGACGTGAAGGTTACCTTTGCTACCATCCCAGAAAGTAAAATTTGATGGGCAGAGCATGTTGCTTACCTTGCTGAAAAGCGATAGACGTCGTACATCCCTGAATAGTACCCAAGAACGTCTTTCAAAAAGGCAGCGCATATTTTTTCCAAGTCATTTTTTACAGTACTTTCTTTTAAAAGACTTCTTTGTCCGTAAGTTTACATTTTTTCTTTTTATTTAATAAATGATCATTTAGGCTGTAGGTGATTTACACAATGGTCATTTTGTGCCGTGCCAGCCGGAAATTAAAGATCGTTTATTGGCATTGGAAGAACAAGGAAATTGTTTACAGGTCCACTTTTTTTTGAGTTCGATGCCAAGTAATTTGGGTTTTATCCCTCGAGTAGTCAACGACATTAATGGATTTTAATCTCCCAAGATCTCTGTACATTACTGGAAGCTAAAATTTGATTGATACTGGATTGAAGTCTGTTTCAAATACTTCTCGACGGGCGGTTGACTAATTATTGCACTTAATATGCTGGTTTGTTGCAGTTTCTTCGTTTATGCCATTTGCAACCGAATTATGGCTATGAAGTGCTTGAGCCGTGTTTGAGTGATTATCCACGGCTGAATACCGAGTGTAGCCTGAAAGTCGGTCGGCGTCACATTCTTCTTGAATTCAGCGAAGACCACAGCAAAGTTGTTAGTTTTCTTTTTTTTTTGTTAGTTATTTGCCTTTCCGTTCGGAAATTTTTCAAGGATTCCTTTCAGTTCGGGGATTTTTCCTCTATGTCCTACTGTCCCACGTTTACCTCCGTCAAAGTAGCACAGTCTTGGTTTCTCAAGTGGTCACTTCTGGAATTTTTCGGCTAGGGGACGAGGGGGGGGGGGGAAATTTCTGGCCACTGGACATCTAGTCTGATTTTAGTTGGGGGACGCTAAAGCACTAAGGCTCTTCAGCTATGATATG